TCCACGGACCATTGCTGTAGGCTCTCATTAGCACGCTGAGTACGCTCTTTTAATTGCGCTCTGTACACGTGCTCGAGGTGGCTGTCTCCAAAACGTGCCTCAAGTGCGTCGAGGAGGGCACTTAAGCTGAGATCCCCACTTGCGCCGATAGCTTCCAGCACTGAGAGCGCTTGATCACGGAGGGCCAGGGTGAGGGCTGACTGTGCTTCCTTCTGAGTCCAACCATAAGCCTCCATAAGTGTCTCAAACTGTAGCTTGAACGCGTTCCAGGATGTTGTTCCGTCGTAATGGGGAATCTTGAGCCCTTTCGTTGCGCTTGAGGCCACATTTGGGGCGTCAAAAACGGCTGCAAGACGGCTTCGGCTCTTCAAAGGGCTTGGGCTTGTCACTTCCTGCTTGATTTTGGAGATCTCTTCTTTCACTCTCTCCTCTATCGCCATGACGCGATGTTCCAACTTGCCTAACCCTTCCTCCACTTCTTGTACCCGTTCGACAGCCTTTTGCAGTCCCTTCGTGAAATCCTTATGCATCTCTTCCAAGCGACGCGCTTGCTCCTCTTGGCGGCGAGCTTGATCCTCTTGGCGACGAGCTTGATCTTCTTTCAGCTCCCGTAGCTGTTCCGCCTGACAGCGTGCTTGCTCTTCTTGGCGGCGCGCTTGCTCTTCTTGGCGGCGCGCTTGCTCTTCTTTCAGCTCCCGCAGCTGTTCTGCCTGACAGCGTGCTTGCACTTCTTGGCGGCGCGCTTGCTCTTCTTTCAGCTCCCGCAGCTGTTCTGCCTGACAGCGCGCTTGCTCTTCTTGGCGGCGCGCTTGCTCTGCCATCATTTGCTGCAGCTGTAGCAGAAGATCCACCTGCACAGGCTTGGCTTCTGCATCGCTGGTTTGAGCTGCAGCACCCTCTTCCCTCACACGCTGCGCTTCTGACATTGCACGGGTACTCACTCCTCTTACGTCCTGCGGCACTAGCGGCATTTTTCTCCAATCCCACTTCTGACACCAAATGTTACGTGCCTGACGTCACGTTCCTGACTATGCGGGCTTGGGTTACGGGATTGGATGAAATGAAACACTAATACCGGTTTTCAGACTTTCTATTGCACTTAAGTTACAGCGTCCACGGAGTTAAGTTATCGGCGTTCTTCTCCAGCAGAGTCCGGCCGACTGACACAACTTTGCCGTTCACGCTGACTTAACTCACTTAACTGACTGCACTTCACTATTTCACTGCACTTCACTATTTCACTCACTTTTCTTCTTTTCCACTTCTTCCTTTTCTTCCGAATCGCTTTAGACTTAGAACTCAACTGCCAGCGGTGAGCCGCAGTTCCGCTTATATACCCCCGGTCAGGTTCTAGAACATTCAATTTCGTTATTCTTTTTGATCGTCATGCCTCCAGAACCTTCCAATAATTTCGTTATTCATTTTTATTTATTCTCCTTCTCGCTCCTTAATTTTTCATTTCTTTCACTCAAATAATTCCAGAAAGTTCGACAAAACTTCCATCAACTAAAAAACTTCATGTTTACGGCGGGACTCGAACTCGGGGTCTCTGTGGTGTAATCCACACGCCTTACCGATTACACCAACTCGTGTTGACAATTCACGACGAAATTTACAATCTCTAGGCAACGTTTGACAACCATCCATTGACGTCATGATGTCAAAGAGTTTTCCGTCACACTTGGTGGCGCGCTTGCAAAGGCTTGGCAATGTCCGAGAATCCTTTCACAAACCGCCGATTGGTGAGCAGGAGAAGGTTATTGCTTACTTCAGCAAGTCACTATCCAAGCCGGAGAAGAATTATTGCGTGACCAGGAGGGAATTGCTGGCCGTAGTCAAAACTCTGCACCATTTCAAGAAGTATTTACTGGGACGGAAATTTTTGATCAGAACTGATCACGCTGCTTTGAAATGGCTGCTTCAGTTTAAGGATCCCGAAGGCCAAGTAGCCAGATGGTTGGAACAACTTCAGGAATTTGACTTTGAAATCGAACATCGCGGCGGAAGAATTCATGGCAACGCAGATGCATTATCGAGACGCCCATGCGTGGAAGATTGCAAGCATTGTGCCAAGAAGGAAACTGCTTTTCTTAAGGTGATAAGGACTGATACTGTTGACGAGGCATGGGGAGATGATGCGATGAAATTAGAACAGGAAAGAGATGCAGATATCAAACCAATACTGGAGTGGCTACGAAGTGGTAACAAGCCAAGTTGGAGTGACGTCGCCCAATATAGCGCGGTAACGAAAGGTTTATGGGCACAGTGGAAAAGCCTTACGCTGCATAACGGACTTCTGTGCAGGAAATGGGAATCAACAAACGGCAAGGACGAGCATTTGCAATTGGTGGTGCCTCGTTCAAAAATAAGGGATGTATTAAAAGCGTTCCATGATGGATCTTCTGGAGGACATTTGGGAATTAGGAGGACTTTGGTGAAGATCAAGGAGAGGTTTTATTGGTTGCATTGCAAATATGACGTCGAAGATTGGTGCCGGAAATGCACTAGTTGTGCAGCTGTCAAGGGTCCACAAACAAGAAGCAGAGGGGCGATGAAAATCTACAATGTTGGTATGCCTTGGGAGAGAATAGCCTTAGACATCGCTGGACCATTTCCAATTACTGATTCGGGCAATCGCTACGTTTTAGTGGTTATGGATTATTTTACAAAATGGCCGGAGGTCTTTGCCATACCGAATCAAGAGGCAGTAACTGTAGCCACGAAGTTGGTAAACGAGGTATTCACCCGATTCGGAGTGCCCTTGGAGATGCACAGTGATCAAGGACGGAACTTTGAATCCCAAGTTTTCCAGGAAACTTGTAAACTTTTGGGAATCCATAAGACTCGAACGACCCCTTATCATCCACAGTCAGATGGAATGGTCGAACGCTTCAACCAAACATTGGAGCGACACTTAGCAAAGGTGGTTGACAGCCATCAGAGAGATTGGGACACTTACATACCTCTCTTCTTGCTTGCCTATCGGACTGCTGTACATGAAAGTACCGCAAAGACGCCTGCATTTGCAAATTTTGGAAGGGAATTGAGATTACCGGCAGATCTTGTATCGGGCTGTCCACCTGGTGACTCTCGCACCGAGTTTAGCGATTACATAAGCGAGTTAAGGGCAAAAATGTTGGACATTTATGAGCAGATCAGGGAGGCCGGTCTTCAAGCTAGTGATCGCGCAAAGACGCGCTATGATCGACGAGCCAATTCTGTTGGGTTTGAAGAGGGGTCATTGGTCTGGCTTCATAATCCAGTCAGAAGGAAGGGAAAATCTCCAAAGCTGCAACCGAGTTGGGAAGGTCCTTACGAGATAGTCACGAAGATCAATGACATTACTTACAGAATTCGGAAGTCTTCAAGGAGCCCTTTGAAAGTTGTCCATATAGACAGGTTGGCGAGGTATTACGGCAGCAACGATGCTCGGGACGAGCGAATCTAAGAGGGGGGCAGTGTGACAGAAAACTCTTTGACATCATGACGTCAATGGATGGTTGTCAAACGTTGCCTAGAGATTGTAAATTTCGTCGTGAATTGTCAACACGAGTTGGTGTAATCGGTAAGGCGTGTGGATTAAACCACAGAGACCCCGAGTTCGAGTCCCGCCGTAAACATGAAGTTTTTTAGTTGATGGAAGTTTTGTCGAACTTTCTGGAATATTTGAGTGAAAGTAATGAAAAATTAAGGAGCGAGAAGGAGAATAAATAAAAATGAATAACGAAATTATTGGAAGGTTCTGGAGGTATGACGATCAAAAAAAAGAATAACGAAATTGAATGTTCTAGAACCTGACCGGGGGTATATAAGCGGAACTGCGGCTCACCGCTGGCAGTTGAGTTCTAAGTCTAAAGCGATTCGGAAGAAAAGGAAGAAGTGAAAAAGAAGAAAAGTGAGTGAAATAGTGAAGTGCAGTGAAATAGTGAAGTGCAGTCAGTTAAGTGAAGTTAGCGTGAACGGCAAAGTTGTGTCAGTCGGCCGGACTCTGCTGGAGAGGAACGCCGATAACTTAACTCCGTGGACGCTGTAACTTAAGCGCAATAGAAAGTCTGAAAACCGGTATTAGTGTTTCATTTCATCCAATCCCGTAACCCAAGCCCGCATAGTCAGGAACGTGACGTCAGGCACGTAACTCGTCGAAGATTGGTGCCGGAAATGCACTAGTTGTGCAGCTGTCAAGGGTCCACAAACAAGAAGCAGAGGGGCGATGAAAATCTACAATGTTGGTATGCCTTGGGAGAGAATAGCCTTAGACATCAATGTTACGTGCCTGACGTCACGTTAATGTTACGTGCCTGACGTCACGTTCCTAACTATGCGGCGTCACGTAACAATATTAATCACAACATGAATAACAATAAAAGGTGATTTATTGGGAATCGTGTATTATGTTTTTGTTTATTCTGTATCAATGTTATGATACCAAAAATAGCATCGCCTATGAACATCATTATAGTTGTTCGTGGTGGCGACACATGAAGATAGGTAGATAGTTCTTACGATTAGGTACTGAAGATCTTCTCAATGTTAATATAATCAAAATCAACTTACAACTTTGGGCTATTGCATTAAAAGTTTATGCATTATTTTGCATCCATTATTTGTACCAAAAGTGGTACTTTCATAGAAATATGAAAAACTAAATTTTGATATATCCACGGATATATCTATGGGTAGGTACGTTACTTCAGTTTTTTGTCATGAGAACAAAATTTAAAAATCCAAGTAAATAGTTTACTGAATTTCATCATCTGGTTAATTTATTGGGTTCTCACGAGCGCGACTAGCATCATAGCATGACAACAGATATTATTATCTAATACAATCTTAGATTACGTATACCTCGATACGTGTTATTTAAAAATTACTTAAAAATGTACTTTATTGCATAAAGCGAAATATTCGACCAAATTGAAAAGTTAGCATGACTGTCAAATTGTATTTTGTTCGCGATCAACTTGACGTTATCAAGTGGCTTTTCAACGTGGTCGGGTAAAGAGGCTAATAACATTGAGTCAAGGCTGGCCGGTTTTTGTATTTATATTGTCATCGGCTGTACCGCAGTTACTATCTACATTGAACACAGGGAGCACGATTGGTAAGATAAACATATTTATTGAAATTATAGATTTATAACGATATTATAAATGGTTAATTAAAACAACTGTTAGGACCTACACATTATATCCTCTTTGGGCCTACAGCTATTTGTGTGCTTAGTTTTCGTTATTAACTTATATGTAAGCTTATGAATGTTGTATGCCGGTTAGCCGGCGCGCGGCGGCACCATAATAACAGCATAACAGTGTCTACATAATAATATGTAGGTATACGTTGATAGGTTTCCTAAACGCTACGCCCACTTTATCCCTAACTATAAGAAATGATAATGATTGCCATGTTCTATAAATATCTAACAAATTAGTAACTGATTTAGGTAGGTATATGATGGTACTCATGCATCTTTAAGATATCTAGTTAGTAGGTACCTAGTTATATACATATTTAGTTTAAAATTAGAACTATAGGTACTTACTTAGTTAATAAATTAATAACTAAAACATGACATGCTATGCTGCGCTGTGTAATGTATTTCCTACGTAGATATTTACATGTTTTATTGTTAGTGATTGATAAGATAACTTCACAAACAATGTCATGGTGATATTTATCTGACAAACATTTAAGCTACTAAGTAAATATTAAAAGGGATTGAGGTTTGGTCTTGACACGGTGTGTTTACTTAACCTCAAATTCTGTTTTTGCAAATTAGTTATTAGTGTTGTCTTTGTTTTGTTGTCTGGTGAGGGTTATTTATAAGGTAGGTTTAAGATTTCTTTTTCCTGTGATACTCATTTCGTGAGAAATGAGTGCCGAGGAACCCCCTGATGGGGGTGGAGGAACTCCTCCGGATATACAAATGAATAATCCTTTAGCTTCTGGTGTAAGCCAGCAGACTAAATCCTCCTTAAAACGACCTGCTGATTCGGAGTCGAATATTGAGTTTAAGAAAAACAGACCTCCGTCTGACTCAATTCAATCTGTTTTTACTAAGCCCGGCTTTGAAACAAACTCCAAGCTCTCCTACAATGAGTGTGACAGAGCACCCTTTACTGTTTTTGTGTCGAAAATAGAACCTGATCCTGCTGCTGGCTCAACGCTAAAAGTCTTAAAGTTCGCGCAATTTCTCCACAAAAACAACATCAAGGGAATCACAGAAGGAGGAATCAAATCTTTAGGCCGTAATAAGCTCTCTATTGAGTTTAAATCTGCCATTGATGCCAACTCCTTTGCAGATAATGATATCCTTTCCGCCAACAATTTCACAGCTAAGATTCCTCGCTTTCAAGTAACCCGTATGGGTATAGTGAGGAATATTCCTACTGACTGGACCTTGGAGGACTTAGTTTCGGGAATAGAAACTCCTCAAAATTGTGGGGAAGTTATCAAAGCTAGACGCCTCAATTTTAAAAATAAAAAGGAAGACTCAATTTATTGGACGCCTTCTTCCACCGTAGTTTTGACTTTCTCTGGGCAAACACTTCCAGAGAAGGTCTATTGCTACAACGCCTCTCTCCCTGTTTCAATTTACCATCTGCCTACAATTCAGTGCCGCAACTGCCTACGCTTCGGTCATATCCGCACTCAATGCCGGTCGAAACCCCGCTGTTTCAAATGTGCCCAGCCACACCCTGGTGATACATGCAATGTCCCCGACTCACAAGCTACGTGTATTCTATGTGAAGGTGGTAACCACAAGGCTACAGATGATCTCTGTCCCGAGCACTCCAGACAGAAATCCATTAAAATGGTTATGTCTGAAGAGAACTTAAGCTATAGTGAGGCATCTACTAGATTTCCCCGTTCTAAACGGTCCTACTCCGACGCTGCTGCGAACATTCGACAAACCCAAATGTCCCAGGCTCCTTCTCTTAATTTCTCCCAACTAATTACAGCTCCTCCCCCAACTTCTTCCTCTCCATTTACTTCTCCCTCCAAAACATCCTATACCAAGACCATATTCCGTTCCCCTAGATCTAGACCCGCACTGGGCAAGTCTTACGATGTCCAAGCTCATAGGACGATTGTTTCTTCCCCCAACTCCTCCCAGCCCAACGGCTGTGCTCTTAAAGATCCCACGTTTTCGGATTCCACTCCTCTTCCTACCCCTAATGACAATCTAATCGAGTTATTATTTTGCTCCCTCATTAATATTCTCTCTAAATTTAGTGACGCTCTACCGAACAATGTCTTAGTCCTTATTGAACAATTGCTCCAAACCTGGTCCCGAAAGAATGGCCAAGATCCTTCAATGGAACAGTAGAAGCATCCGCCAAAAAAAACACGACCTACTGCATCTAATAAACCGCTACACTCCTGTCCTCTTTGCGGTGTCGGAGACATGGCTCAGACCTGGATCCCCCTTCAGAGTCCCTGGGTTCTCGTGTCTCCGAGACGATAGAGACGATGGGCGGGCGGGATGCGCCTTGCTGATCAGTAGGTCTATCTCCTTTTCCCAAATCCTCATTCCTCTTCACTCTCCCGGACTTCATGTTGTTGCCATCAGAGCCATGGATATTTCCTTTGTTTCTGCTTACATTCCTCACCCTAATGCCAACCTTCTATCTGAATTTAACTCCATCCTCTCTGCTATCCCTAACCCTTTGGTGGTGTTAGGTGATTTTAATTGCCGCCACACGCTTTGGGGTTCTCCCATCAATGACCCCTCATCCAGTTTTTTATTAGATCTCCTAGATGACCTAAATCTCTGTGTCCTCAATGATGGTTCAGCAACACGTAGGGTTTCCCCTACTCAAAATGTTAGTGTCCCTGATCTTTCACTTGCGTCTCCTTCCCTAGTCTCTTCTCTTTCCTGGTCTGTCCTGCCATACTCATATGGCAGTGATCACTTTCCAATATTAATCTCCATACATAATTCCTACTCTCCTACCCCTCCCATCAATCCTCTTCAGAAATATCGCCTACTCCAAGCAGACTGGGATAAATTTTCTTCTCTGATAGATTCTGATCTTCAATCCTTTCCCCAGGTGAACTCCTCAAATTGCCTTGCCTTGTATGAGGATTTTGTCGCTTGTTTAATACGAGCGGCTGATTCTTCCATTCCCTTAAAGAACTCCGCCCGTAAATTTATCCCTTCCCCCCCATGGTGGGATGCAGAATGCTCTGACAGCGTTCGAAAACGAAAGGAGGCAGAAAAAAGATATGCGTCCTCTATAAACATGGCCAATTACCTAAATTTCAAGAAAACTTGTGCCCACACCCGCAGGTTATTGGCAAGGAAAAAGAAAGATGGATGGCACAACTTCTGCGAATCATTATCCCCTCGCTCTCCAGTTTCCCTAGTCTGGCAAAAAATCAAAGCTTTTCGCAGAGTCTGCGACGACCATTCACCAGATATCTCATCCAACGATCCTGGTTGCTGGTTAGAGGACTTCATAAACAAGTTGGCCCCCCCCTTTGTCCCTAGTTTAGAATGCTTTCCCTCTTTGGACTCTCCTTCCCTTCCCTCTGATAAATTTGATGATCCATTCTCTCTCTCTGAGTTGTCTTTTGCTTTGGAACATCTTCGGGACTCAGCCCCGGGCATAGACGGCATCCCGTACTCCTTCATCTGTAAATCCTCTCCTGTTTGCAAACAAATATTCCTTGCCCTTATCAACTCCTTCTTCCTCTCCGGCCTCATCCCGGAATCTTGGAAATCCCAAATAGTTATCCCGATCCTAAAACCTGGCAAAGATCCAAAAGATTCTTCTTCATACAGACCCATCGCTTTATCTTCTGTTCTAGCTAAGATCGCGGAGAACCTTATAAAGAACAGGTTGGAATGGTTTTTAGAGTCCAAGGGCATACTTTCCGCTTCCCAATTTGGGTTCCGAAGAGGAAGGGGTACCCTAGACAGTCTGAGCATCTTCACTTCTGATGTTCGAATTGCCTTCTCTCAAAACGAAAGCGTCCTGGGCGTTTTCCTTGATATAACGTCAGCTTACGATAATGTCCAACTTCCAATACTCAGGCAGAAACTGCATCAGCTGAGTGTCCCTGTGAGGCTGGTTAACATCACTTGCAGCTTGCTAATGTCTCGTTATATATCAATTCGACATCAAAATTCCATCTCTTCACCCCGCTTAGTCTGGAAAGGCCTACCCCAGGGTTCGGTCTTAAGCCCTCTCCTTTATAATGTTTATACCCACGACTTAGAATCCTCAATTAGCTGTTTCTGTAAAATCCTTCAATACGCAGATGACATTTCTCTTTATTTCAGTTCGTCCTCTCTTACAGAGGCTTCTTCCCGCTTGAATTCTGCTTTGTTCTATCTAAACCAATGGTTAAATGATCATGGCCTATCCCTATCTGTCCCCAAATGTAACGCTGTAGTATTTTCACGTAAACGTAACATCCCCCCTATTAATCTATATATTGAAGATGAAACCATTTTGATCTGTGACAAAGTTAAATTCCTTGGCATAATTCTGGACTCAAAATTATCTGGCCTCCATCATCTCGATTACATTAGTAAAAAATGCGAAAAGGGCGTGAATGTCTTACGTGCTCTCTCGGGGGTTCGCTGGGGCGCTCACCCTGCCACCCAAAAAATTTTATATAATGCCATAGTGCGAAGTCATTTCGACTATGGCAGCTTTCTTTTGGAGCCATGCAACAAAATCGCTATGTATAAATTGGACAAAATTCAAGCCAAATGCCTTCGAATCATAACAGGTGCCATGAAATGCTCTCCCTCAAATGCCCTACAGGTTGAATGCCTGGATCCTCCTCTTTCCTTACGCAGACAATTCCTCGCAGACAGATTTTTTTTCAAAGTCATCCAAATCAAATCCCACCCCCTTCTTCCCCTCCTACAAACTCTTTGTGAACTAGTCCAGTCTTCCCGCTACTGGTCCCACAAAGATCCCCCTCTTCTTGTTAATAGTTACCGATCAACCCAGGACTTGCCCATCTCTTTATGCCAGTCTAATTTCAACCCGCTTTTTGAAGTTAGTTTCGAATCACTGATTTTTCAACCAAAGGTTATTTTTAGTCTTGGCATTTGCAAAAACGACCCCTGTGCCAATAACAAGT